TTCACCAATCATATTCTGTAGTGAGTCAGCTCTGTACATACATTGGTCTGTTAGATTGGAATTATCTGAGCTATTTGTATTTCATGTTCTTAGATGGAGGTCAAGCAGATAACTTGTATCTTTCCATTCTTTTTGTTGTACCTTGACTAGGATCAGCTGGGTAAGTGGTATGCACTGCGTGATTTTACTAGACTTTGTCAGGAAGTTCACATTGTAACCTTTACCTGATGAACATGTTTAAGCCCTCAGGGGCGGGGCCCTCCTCACCATCTCGTCTTCATTTGTATTGTGACTGTAATGTCTTCCTTATATTGTAAAGCGCTGCGCAAACTGTTGGCGCTATATAAATTCTGTATAATAATAATGTTTGGCTTTTACTTCCTTGATGTTCTACATTTTAGTTCTAGTTAGGGCTGGAGCTTATTGATTATTTTCATAATCGATTAGTTGCCCGAATATTGTTTTCAATTAATCGATTGGTTGCATTGAAGGAGAACTATGAGGGGGGTGCTTTTCACTCATCCTCATAGTTGGAGCCGACGTGTCACAATGAAACAGTCACAGGTCGGCTCAGTAGATCGGGAAGTGAACGAACACATACCGTCGCTCGCTCACTTCTCGATCCTGTCCCTGCAGAGAGCCGTGACTGTCACTCACAGCTCCTTGCAGGGATTCCCCCCTCCTGTCTCTGGATAGGCAGAGCCAGCTGCCACTCGCGCAAACTGTGTGGCTCTCGACAGTAATGTCCGGATCCTTCCCGGCTGCAGCGGTCTCGGTATACTGCGAGCTGTAGCTCGCTATATACTGAGCTTTGGGTCACGAGAGGATGCTAGTATATGTCCTCCCGTGACCCTGAGGAGAACTATGGGGAAAAACACTTACCCCATAGTTCTCCTTTGAAAAAAAAATCTCTCCTAACTCATGCTGATGCCGCTATGTCAGGCCTGGGTATCTAGGCATTGGTGACCTCTGATCATAAAAGTGTTAAAGATAATAACCTTAGTTACCCTTGGGTTGGCCATCTTATCTTTTGCACGTCGCTTCAGTACCACCCAGGACCCTTCTATAGCGTCTATGCAAATATACAATATGGCCAGATGTTTGAGGACACCTGGCCATTACACCTATGTGGACTTGTTGGATGTTGCATTCCAAAACCACGGCCATTAATATTGAGTTGGCCCTTCTTTGAGTTGATAACATCTGCCATTCCTCTGGGATGGCTTTCCACAAGATTTTGGGGGGTGTTTGTGGAAATGTGTGCCCATTAGACATAAAGAACTGATGTTGAATGAGAATACCTCCCTCCATACATTCTAATTCAAATCTCTACCGAAGGAGAAGACCTCCCTCCATACATTTTAATTCAAATCTCTACCGAAGGAGAAGACCTGGCACCTACGTTCTAATGCAAATCGCTCCCGAAGGAGAAGACCTGCCTCCCACGTTCTAATTCACATCTCTCCCGAAGGAGAAGACCTGGCACCTACGTTCTAATTCACATCTCTCCCGAAGGAGAAGACCTGCCTCCTATGTTCTAATTCAAATCTCTAAAAGGGCCTTCACCAAACTGTTACCATGAGGGTTAGAAGAGCACAATTGCCTAAAATGTCTTTGTATGCTCTAGCATTACCGGTTCCCTTCACTAGAAACACCTGAACTCCATCATTTCGAGAGGTGGCCACATACTCTTGGCCTTATAGTATACCAAACGTGGTCCAATTTTTATTATTCTCTGGATCCCTCCTGTTCTCCCTCTAAAAGGGATTGTAGTAAGCTTTGATTTGTATTATCAGAGACAACTCCAGTATGTATTCCTATTACAATGCCGATGTTATAACGGGAGAGGAGATGCCGGGACTTTACAACTCCTTTTAAGCTTATTATAATCTCAAATGTATCAATCAGAAGGAAGTTAAAAAGATGAAGTTTGCATATAATGGAAGGCGGAGCGTAGATAACGATATTATTGGGAAAATGTGAGCGCAGGATTCAGGAACGAGAAGCTGAGGCCGATAACAAAGCGGAACGCGGACATTGTGTCAGGTATTGGACACATTTATTACGTGGACGTTGAGATAATGGTTGGGACATAGGTCACATGTGACAGCTGTTGAACTGGCACAGATTCCAGTACCGGTGACGTGCTGATAACGGGAGCCTTCTGGGATCAGCCAGTCAGTGCAGGTCAGGAGAGGAGACGTGACGCTCCATAGGGATATCACATGCCTGCACAGATGATCAGCACAATGCTCAGTCCTGAGAATTGGGTTTTTCCGCTTCATGTGGGGATGTAAATTTTGTCTTTTCCCTTTTTATTTGTAAATGTTGATCCTTTTCACATAGGATGCGTCGTGCACCCCACTGATATGGCATTAAAGGGGAACTCTCAGTAACTTTACAAGCCTGCAAGAATTAACTCCTGACGTTCGTATTATACAATGTTACAATTTTTCGGCAAAGCTCCAAAAAAGTCCTTACAGGAGAACTCCAGGAAAAGTAAAGAGAATAACCTTTGCGGTGGTGCTACCCAGTGGCGTCACAAGGGGTGTGTGTGTGTGTGTGTGTGTGTGTGTGTGTGTGTGTGTGTGTGTGTGTGTGTGTG